CCCCCAGATTTTCTTTTACCCCAGTGGGGCAGGCCCCCCTGGCTGGAACCCCCCGATTGGTCCAAAGCATGTCTATCTCGGTTAAAAACAATCAACTATTTCAAAAACCATTCATTTGTGACGGCCAAACTATTCAAACATATATCGTCCTTTTGTATCTCTCCTCCTTTTTGTCTTTTGTTACTCTCTTATATCATCTCTAATCTTCGTCATTTGTACGACCTTATTGTGTTCTAGTGCTGTTCAACTCATTCTAAGACTTAAGGGGGGGAAAACAACGAACCTGTTACCTGTAGGGTAACCTGTCACTCTGTTTTGCTTTAATGTACGTTTGTACTTGTGAAAGGCAATCATTTTCTCAGCTCTTCGTGTCTATCTATCGCCCTGTCTGCTTGTCTGGTCTGACTTTCTCTTTTAATTCATCATGGTTATTGTGTTTGGCTGTCTTTCTGTTTGATTATCACCCAACGGTAATGGGTTTTTGTCTGCAATAAAATACCTTGGGATGCGCTGGCTTTGCAACTTTATCTTTATGACAATGGCAGCTGTGATTTGAGTTTCAGTGGTGTTTATTAATATTTATTGATCAGTGAGCCCACGGTGTTTTCATCTTTCTGTACTTTTTTTCTCATCACCTCAAACGTTTGGTGAGACTGAGTGTACAATTAACTCTGAAGCTTTGCTGATAATATCTCTAGATTCTAGATCTAGATGACTTGAGTTATCATATTCCTTTGTTGAGTTGTTTTGGTTTTGTTTGTTTTTTGGGGGTTTTCATTTTGCCGAAGGCATTTCAACACATTTTTTAACCCAGTTGCTCTCAAGAGGTTGTCTTTTTAGCTGATGTGATAGGAAAAAGGTCTAACAAAGTATAGCTTTACTCTTCGTCTTCAGCGAGTTTCAGTCCGTCAAGATACGACATGTAGTCTCTGAATATTTGCCCAGAAGAACGTCGTGCTTTTGAATGTAATGGTCTTGTGTCGAGAGAGAACATGATTAGCCCACGTTGTCTCCAACTGAAGCTAACTCCTCGTTTTCTATCGTTTCAGTTGCCATGTCCTGTCTTTCTTCCATTGTCCCTCTCGCAACTTCATTTATAAATAAAGTACAAACGTCAATGGACTGATAAGGATGCAGGGATTCAAAATTTCTTTTAAGCCTTGTATAGATTTCAGTTTATAGAAGAAACGAGTTTTTCTTATCCCTTTCCCCTTTGATATAGTTTTTACACTAGTCGCCAGACTGTGTTTATTGGTAGTTGGAGAGTGCCTCTATTGGGTCTTTCTTTTCTGCTCTTTTGTTTAAGTCTTTCTGTCTTACCTTTTCCCTGCACTGCGGGTGGTTGCCGGATGCTCTGGTGTGGTTTGCTCCTTCTTTCCTATCTACCATCTATCGTCCTTATCTTCCCTTTATCTTTATCTTTTTTGTGTTTGTTACTCTCTTGTAACACCTCTAATCTTCGGCACTTACATGACCTTATTGTGTTGCTAGTGCCGTAAAACTCTTACGAAAACTAAACTTCCCTGCACTGCAACCATTATTGACCTTGTCGATGTGCTACTCTCTACCACATTGTACTACTAAAACCGTGTCGATGTGCTACTCTCTACCACATTGTACTACTAAAACCGTGTCGATGTGCTACTCTCTACCACATTGTACTACTAAAACCGTGTCGATGTGCTACTCTCTACCACATTGTACTACTAAAACCGTGTCGATGTGCTACTCTCTACCACATTGTACTACTAAAACCGTGTCGATGTGCTACTCTTTACTACAACTAAGACCGTGTCGATGTGCTACTCTCTACTACAACTAAAACCGTGTCGATGTGCTACTCTCTACTACAACTAAAACCGTGTCGATGTGCTACTCTCTACTACAACTAAAACCGTGTCGATGTGCTACTCTCTACTACAACTAAAACCGTGTCGATGTGCTACTCTCTACCACATTGTACTACTAAGACCGTGTCGATGTGCTACCGTTTACTACAACTAAGACCGTGTCGATGCCATTGTCCACTTGAACAGTGATATAAAAGGATTATTATATTCAAATACTATGACCGTTCAAAACAGCAAATATAGATCTAGAGTTTCATGCAACACACAAATAATGTAAGACACTGGGCGCACAAAAAGAAACTAGTAACAGTAGATCTAAAGCTCAGTAGAAAAATGACCCGAGTAGCCTCTACCTTATTTATTTATTTTGTTAAAGACACGTTTTGAATTTATTAAACAGAATTAAGAACTGCAAGCTCTTAAGAGTGATCTGCGTATGATCTGGCATTTCCCTTAAAAAGGAATCCGGAATCTAACCATAACCAATTCCCTTGTGCGTACAATTCGAGTTTGGTATGTGTATCATTTTTTTCTTCATGATATATACTGTTACCGTGTTGTGTAGTTTTGAATTACATGTCCCTTTATTTGAATTTATTGGATGAACATTCTATCACCTTGCGGAGGACAACGACCGCTATGCTTTATTCTTTTTTTTCTTTTTTTATTTCATTCTTCTGCACTCTGTTGAGGTTGGAGGTGTCAGCTATCCAATTAGATTCTATGTTTGAAAGGTTAACTGTGCGTTCTCTTTCCGTCTCGCTCATTAAAGTGTTGGTATTTGCAGTGCAGCTGCTTATATAACGCCCTACAGCGGTGTGCACAGAGGTGGGGAGGGTTTTTCCCCCCCCCCCCCCCCCCCTCCGATTTCGTTGTTTGATTTGCCGTTAGCGGCCTTTTGTGTCTATATTTTACAGGTGAACTGGAATAAGTTTTTTGTAGACCTTTTACGAGTTTCAGAGCACGGTGTTATTTGTTTTTAAGGCGAGTCTATAAAATTTCAGATGCAATTTATCGTTGCGGGTGGTTAGAGAGCACCAGTGGTAGGTCCTGCTCCTTGACTTTCCCTCTGTTGATTCTGTCTGCTTCTCTTTCTTACTTTTCCCCACCACTTAATGACTATTATTGTATCAATGTGCTTTTGTTGTTGTATTATTATACTTCAGGTTAAGGGAAATTTACTCCGCCTCCCCC